ATTATTATTATTATTATTATTATTATTATTATTATTATTATTATTATTATTATTATTATTATTATTATTATTACTGTTATTATTGATGAAAGTTGGCCATTTTAAATACCATTTTCTATTTCAGAATTGGAATGATTGCAAACACATTAGTTCATGTATTCATGTATTATTATTACTTTTCTGCATCGTTGGGTCGATCAATTTGGTTTAAGGTACAAAAATTTATTTAATTTTGCTTTCGATATACTAAAGAATGCAAAATTAAACTCGCATATTTATACATAGAAATACATAACAACCGCGCAATTAGTACAGTTCTCAGTCGGGTTTTTATTTGGCATTCCGTATTTATACTTACATTTTACACGTAATTGCGCGTACGGGATAAACGCATTTATCTTCTCCATGGTTTGCAATGCCACTTTTATGATCTTGTTTATTAGGTTCTACCGTAAAACCTATTTAGGAGGCAAGAAATCGGAACAACAAAAGAAAAAAGATTGAATATTATAAATCATATGATAACAATTAAAAATTTTTCGTGAACTAAATCACGTGTGCTCTTAACGCGTGTTGTCGTCATCATTTATTGGATGTTGTGTAAAATCGGCCCATAATCAAAAAGATGATTTTTGCAGCGATCACATGGTAGGAAATAGGTGGCGTTATGTTCTCATCGAAATCATCTATGTCATCATGTCATCATGATATCGTTGATATCGTCATACTTTAAAATTTTGAACAAAGAATATATTTATATAAGGAGCATTAGGATGCCTTTTTCTTTCAAGATCAAACCAAAAATTATCATTTGATTCAACAGATAATTAAACAATAACTTTCAAACCATCATATAACCTTTGATTACCTTGATTTTATAAAAATGGATCAGGTTAGAATTTGCTTTCTCTTAATATCGTCTTCATTGTCAATATGATTTTCTTTTCATTTAGTGTTAAACTATTATCGCATCTTTTATTAGAACCAGCAACCAGCTCCCGCTGAAATTCATACATCTGTCGAAAATGCACATAAAGCCGAGGAATTGGCTCGCGCAGAACGTATTCTCGAGCAGAAAAGAATAGAACAGCATGCACATGAAGAAGCGCAGTTAGTGAAACAAGAGTTGGAAAATAAAGGCGAAAAAACGAAAAAGCAATGATTTGCTGTGCTATGTTGACATTTTATAATCTTTATAAATTATATTATGTAATATTTTGTTGTAATATTTTATACATTTCAATACATGTAATAAAACGCGAATGATTTTCTGTATAACACATGCAAAAAAACGCGTAAACTAAATTTGAACATTTGATTCGCGTGTTATATACCTTAGACACGTTATAAGCATTTCAAGTCTAATGAATTCCACAAATATTATAATACCTCTAAATGACGATGCATCCGAGAAACAGTCTCGGAGAAAGTCTTTTATTGAAATGCGTCGAAGGTCTTCTCCTTTTACAACACCAACTAAAGCTTCTGGGAGTAACCAACAAGTGACAACCCCAAAAGGGAATGGTGTTAATTCAAGAAAATCTTTTATCGAAATGCGTCGAAGGTCTTCTCCTTTGACAACACCAACTAAAGCTTCTGGGAGTAACCAGCAAGTGACAACCCCCAAAAGAAATGGTGTTAATTCAAGACAGCTGGAAGTTGTTACGCCGATTCCTAAAATTCCGGTTGAACAAATGTCCGTTAATTTTGAGGAGTGGATGAAAATGGCGACTGATAACGTAAATAATGAATAAATGGTCTTTTCGATAATTATTTTTATGGGTTAATGCACATTTTATTGTTAATTCAATTAGAAAATCAATGCTAATAACAGTTGGAAGCTCGCGCTCATTGATTATTTTCATGAAATGAGCTTATTAAAGGAAGGAGACTCTATAAACTTCCAAAAGGCTTCTTGTACGCTAGATGGGTGTGTGAAAATCTATACATCACGTGTTGATTCTGTTGCTTCCGAAACTGGAAAATTATTGAGTGGTCTTGCAGATAGTTCCAGTATGTCTATAATATTATATGATATTATAATAAAAGAAATAAGAAAAATAATAAACTATATGTGCCTCTTTTTTAGTAAAAGATGATGAAGCTCCAGAAAATGAGGAAGAAGAAAGAGAATCAGAAAAACGTGCCCGTAAGAAGGTACCTTACGGATTCAAAATATTATATATATCAAAGATCATCAATTATCTAATGCATTTTTTTTCATATGCAGACAACAAGAACAGAAGCAACTTTGGTAAAAGATTATTCTGTCTTAATGGCGAAAAAATTGAATGTGGAATTCTCAGTCGATCCTCTGTTTAAAAAAACATCGGCAGATTTTGATGAGGGAGGCGCTCAAGGATTACTGTTGAATCGATTGTCTGTAGATGATGACGGGAAGATAATTTTTGATGCAAGCGATGCTATCGCCGGAGACAACAATAATAAGAATGTGCCTTCCGAAGGCGATAATGATTCTGATCTAAAAATCGACATTACGAAACTTCGCTGTGAGTATATATTAAAGTATAATTTATTCGAAACTTATCGATTTTCATATTGTGTGTTGTTTGTTTTTTTAGTTGAATTCCTTTCTGGGCTTCAAGAAATATTTAATAAGGATATTATGTGTCCCTCAATCTTGGATAAATTCGAGTTTTCAACAGAAAATATGATGAATATCACAAATAGGGATGGGCGTGATGATGTTGATATCGAAGAAGAAATTAATAGTCAAGCTCCAATTAATGATGAAATTAAAGAAAATGACTTTTTTGAAGAAAATTATGAAACACTCGGAGATGGATTTGCTGAGGATATTATTATGGAACAAGAAGACCTGGCAGGCTTAGGAACTCAAGAAATTGTTATAGAAACCTCTCAACGACGCTTATCACAAAGAGAATTAGTAATGGCAATGACTACCAATCAAAATGAAATGTTTTCTTATTTTGATTCAGCATTCTTACGCAATTGGGCGGGTCCAGAGCATTGGAAAATGAAACGTATAGCAAAAGGTAATTAATTTACCTATTGTTTCATTGAAGCTTTCTCATAATTTTCACTTAAATTATTTTATCAATAGAAAAGCCTCAGAATGCTACAAATGACGAATCCAAAAGGAAAAAAGAAAAAAGTTCATCTGTTATCGACTTTATCGAATCCGATGAGATTGATGAAAAAGCAATATTTGTAAAAGGGGGAGCCACTATAAATTTAGCTAGATCTGCTGAATATGGTTCTCGAAATTATTTACTTCCAGACGATATGCATTTTAATTCGAAGAAAATGCTTCGCTTATTTTTGAAGCCAGAATTCACGGTATACTTAAAATCCTTTTGACATACATTCTATTCAGATCCTATTCATAACATTGTAATATTTCTTTTTCAGATTGGTTTGGGAGGTCGCTCAGGATCTGCTGAAGGTTAATTTTGTTTAAAAAAAAATAGCTTATTTAATTTATTTCTAATAATTATATTTAAAAATATAGTCGAAGGGAATAATGATGTCAATAATAATTATTGGGGAGAGCAAATGGGACATGGTCATGTAGATGATGATCAAGCATCTTTCCCGGATATGAGTATGTTTAAAGTTCAATTTAATAGTAATTTATTGCAAATTACTGACTTAATTATTGTTATCATCTTAGCAATGGTTACTCATGGTGAAACATTTTTCCGAGAAGATGAATATCCTTTCGAGGAGGTTGAAGGGGATTATGGTAATCAATTAATATCCCAACCGAAAAAGATTAAACCTGCTTTTGTCAAATATGCTAAGACAGCCAAACGAGTCGATGTCAAAAAATTAAAAGACAATATCTGGAAAACATTAGCTGATTCATCTGATAAGGTAAATTTACGAAATTATTTCATAATCCCAGCATCAAATCTTCTTAACAAACGACCCTTTTTTTGTAATCTAGACAACATTAGCTAAACCTGGCGATCAAGCTATTCATGAAAAAAAATTCACGAGCATAATTGAGAATCTCAAGAAGATTTACCCGGACCGTAAAATGAAAGATATTTCAGTGTCATTTTGTTTCATTTGCTTACTGCATTTGGCAAATGAAAAAAATTTGAAAATAATTGGAAATGAGAATTTGTCTGAACTGAGGATATTATCAGAGCAAGATGTAAATTAAATATATTTGTTAAAATCAACAATATCATTTAATGCAATTTTTATTAATCGATAATATTTAAACATTTAAAAATAAAAGTTTAAATATGACCGATCTGATCTAAAATTTTTAACCTATACTTTCTGTTTGTATCTGGCATTGACTGACTTTTTGCAGAAATCTCATCTTTATTAACGTTATTAACTTTCTCGCTTGGTGTTATCAACGGAGTTCCAAAAATAGTCAGAGTTTGTAATGTTTGATCAACAGTATCAACACTATCGCTATTATAGCGAACAAATTTTGATTTACAAGAGAATAGTGGCGATCTTTATTGTGGGCGGTGGGATGAACGAATGAAAGAGGGTAGAATCTATAACAATTTATATAGAACGTAACTGATGCCTTTAAGACTCCCGAGCTACTGGGAATGAATCAGATATTCCGGTAGCGCGATAAACAAATGGAGTGAAAGAATGAAAGATGGGAGAATCGATGATCATTAGGCAAATTTGCTGTGGGGTGGTAAACGCTCACCATTCGCGTCCACTCCGCCATGTGCTTTCCTAATCCTTGGAATACCAGGCACCTCGGGATAATTAATTATCTGTATTTGCAAATATTAATAATTACCGGCAAAAAAAACACTATTCCAAGCGATCTGTAGATTTTCCTACAGCCCATCTCTATTGAAATGGCCAATCAAGTAATAATCTCATTTTGCGCTTTTTTAGGAAAGCAAGGTAAGTCACGAGGAGATGAGCCAATCAAATTTCCAAATTGGAGAAATACTAAAGCCGGATAGTGCAATTCGGATCGAGTTAATTCAGATATGATCTGGGTTGATCTGATCCGGATTGGCAAGTCATGTCACCAAGATATAAATATATTAATAAATATTATTTATTGCAAGGCAGCATTACTTTTTTAAAAAAGAAAAAAAAGAAAAAGAGAAACTAAGATTATTAAGAATATATTTTTGATATCAAATATAAGTTATAAGTATTATAATAACTTATTATTTCTAATATTATATACTCTTTATTTTATTTCTTTATTATATACTTATTTTATATTTTTTTAATATATATACTTAATATTTTTATAATTTTTTATTTATTTTTTTTTCTAATTCAATTTATTAACTTTCTTATTTTATTACTTTATATTTATTCTTATTTTATAATATATTTATTATCATTTTTATATTTAAGTTCTTTAATATTATTATTTTAATTATATTAATTAAAAATATATAATATTAATATATTATTTGAGATCTTAAAAAAAGAATTTCATGAGAATTTATAGCTACTTATTTTTAATATATAGATATAATATAATAATTAGAAGTATATTAATGATAATTTTTAGATTATCTATATTTATTATTTTGTAAAATATAATAAATTAAATATATATAAAGAAGATATTTTATAAAAAATAAAGAAAAATAAGTAAGCATAATTCTGATAAATATAATATAAAAATTAAGATAATATATATTATTACTTTTTTAAATAATTAAAATTTAATATTTTAAAAATATTATAATTAATTATCTATTCATGTGATATAGTAAATATAGCACAGTTACAGTATATAATGCAGTAATTATTAATCACTACTAAATCAAGTAAACAAGAAATTTATATTAATTAATCTTATTTATTATTAATTCTATTTTTAGTTTATATTATTACTTATATTTAGTCT